TCCCACAGACACTGGACTGGCTTCAAACTGCGATCCTTAGATCTCTGCTGCCTGAGTAGGTAGGATTACAGGGAGAGCCACTGATGCTCAGCTATGAAATTGTGTTTGCTGGGCTAAGTTCCAGGTGTCAGTATGGCTCTACTCCCTTCTAAGGGAGAATTCTAAGGAAGAATTTTCAAACTTTTGAAACTTCTTTTTCCAACTTTTAAAGGCTGACAACTTGAAAGCCTGCTTTGGTCTTTACTCCCTTCTAAAACTGGGATCAGAAAATCAGATTTTATCTGTGGAGCTCATGCTTAACCATTTTTGCTTTGAACTTCAAAGGCAACATTGAAAGAAAAGAATTAAGAATAGAGAAGATCTACTCTTAGATAATAGTACAAACATTAGTCCTCCTTATCCACAGGAGATATTTCAAGACTCCTTAAAACCTCAGACTATGCCCCCCCCATACGTACATACTTGTGATAGTTTAATTTATAAATTAGATACTATAAGAGATTAATAATTAATGATAAAATAATAACTATATTAAGTAAAAATAAGAATAACCTTACATGACCAGTGGATGGGTACTATATACGGCATGAAGATATTCATGTATCATGTAAACTGGGCATGGGGAGGTTTACATCTGGCCCCATAGGGGAACAGGACATGAGATATCATGAGAAGTGAAAGTTTAGAGATGATGATGATGATGATGATGATTGTGTTAGTCCTGGGGCTTGAACTCAGGGCCTGGGTGCTGTCCCTGACCTATTTTGCTCAAGGTTAGCACTCTACCGCTTGTTTCACAGTTCCACTTCTGCCTTTCTTTTTCTTTTGGTAGTTAATTGGAGATAAGAATCCCATGCACTTTCCTCCCCAGGCTAGCTTTGAACTGTGGTCTTCAGATCTTGGCCTCCTGAGTAGCTAGGATTACGGGCATAAGCCACCGGTGTCTGACAGTAATAATTTATTTCTGGAATTTTTCATTTAGGGTTTTTTTTTGAAAGAATATGATTGTTTGTGGATAACTGAAACTACAGAATGTAAAAGTACAGGTAAGAGGGGGCTTCTATGTAACTAAGCCATAGTAATACAATCGGCACAGAACTGGCACAATAACAGCTACACCAATAAAGCAGCAATGAGAGCCCAGAAAGAGACATGTGTACGTACAGGGACTTGGCGCATGCCAGAGATGCTATCACACATTGGTGGAGAAGAAATGGGTTGTTAAGTTGGTGCTTCTGGAAAACAGGCTCACTGTGTAGAGAAAATAATATCATAGTTGTACTAGTACTCTGTATGGAAATGAGCTCCAGCTGACTTAAAACCTAAGTGTAAAAGGTGAAAATATAGCTAGAGAAAAATGTGACTATGTGAACCAAGAATCCTAAATAGGACCCAAAAGAACACACACCACAAGGCCAAAATTTGGTGCATTTGTCACTACCTGAATTAAGTATTTCTTATTCATTGTAGGTGAGCAACAACTAAGCTATCAGGACACATAAAATAGGAAGCAATACTTGTGATGTCCAAAGCTAACAGACGATTCATATTTAGAATGTATAAGAAATTCTTCCAATTCACTCTGCAAAATAGTAGAAAATCCAGCAGAAAAAGAAGTAAAGGATGTAACTAGATAAATCACAAAGCAGGAAAAATTCAGTGCCTGTGTACATGGAAAAATAGTAAACACACCAATCATCAAGAGGATACAAATGAAAATTTCAATGCAATCCTACTTTACTAATTAATATAAATTAGCACATCGGATAATATCAGACATTAGCATATAAATGAGGAGCTGGGACTCTTGTCCTCTTCATGTGCCACTGGTAGGAAGGTAACCTGGCAGACATCATCATGGCAGGTGGTGCGATTGAAAGTAAGCCCAGTAGACTGCATGACCCAGCAGTTTCATTTCTTCTTTATGGTCTGTGAGGGACAGGCCTAATAACTGACCAGTGGCACTTAACTTCATTTTTGAGGAATTGATTAGCACAATGTGTATTGCCAGGACTTAATGAAGCCTTGGTGTATAAAAAGTGGTTCACGTCTCCCCCCCCATTTTTAATTAACATCAATTAGTTGTATTAAGAGGGTTTCATTTTGACATGAACATATATGCAGACGCTATACCTTGATCATCTCGAAGGGCTAGGTCTTGATGGTCTGTGGTGCTATCTAGAAATGGTGGGACCTTTAGGAGGTGGGGCTTTCTGGGAGGCTTTTAAGTGACTGGCAGAATGCCCTTGAAGAAGTCCTGGGACCTTTAGGAGGTGGGGCTTTCCGGGAGGCTTTTAAGTGATTGGGAGAATGCCCTTGAAGAAGTCCTGGGACCTTACCTGCTCTTCCTATGCCCTCTGCTCTCTTGTGGCCATTAATGAAGAGTCTCCATCTGTCACAGTTCCTTCTGTCCTAACAGACTGTTTCCAAGGTTGAGAGCAATTAGGCCAGATGACCAAGGACAGAAATAGTGATCCCAAATAAAGATTTCTCCAAGTCGTTTCTTTCAGACATTTTGTCACAGCGACAGAAAGAGGATCTCTCGGATATATTATGTTGAACAAACAGGAAACAGAATGAATTCTTACCACAATGCCATTTACAATTTGCATTTATATACAAAAAGACACATCAACCAAAGACATTATGATCTTTAGAGACACATGCAGGCAATGTGACATATCTTACACATATGGGGACAGAGAACTAGGAGTGTGGAGAGGATTGAGTGGGAAACCAAACTCATGAGGTCCCCAACTGGCTTCAGCCTCCTTCCCCCTGCCTCCTACTTGTGACTGACCCACGTGTGTGCAACTCAGGTGGGCTTCCCCGGGAGCAGGGCCGCTCCCTCCCTCCAACCCACCCTGCCAGGTACCACTTTCCCATCCCTAGGCGCTTCTCGGACAACCAGCCACAGCCAAGCACGTCCAGGCTTCACCTCGAAGGCTGACTTCATTTCTCGGCTAAAGGGGACGCTGCCTCTCCCCAAACGTCGGTCCCTCTGTCTGGGACCACATCACATTCCCATATCCCTGTCCCCCATTACCTGGCCTGTACACACCCCGTCCCGACTGCTTGGTTTATCAGGGCACGCACCCCTACCCCAGGGGTAGGGCTGAGGGGGGCGTCTGCGTGCTCAGCCCTTGGGGGAAGAATGGAAAGTTATTCTCTCTGGTGAGGAAGACCCCCACCCACCTCCCTTTCTCCCGCTTCCCTCTCATTGGCTCAGTCTCGTCGCGCCCAGCTCCCGCCCCCTCCTCCCACACCCTTCTTCCCCTCCAGGCCTCCCCCACCCCTGACGGGCTGTGCGCAGGCGCCACGGGGCTCACGCGG